AGGGTTCCTCACATTTGTAATCACAGGCAGTGCCTTTGATACGCTGACTCACTATTATACAAATTCTGTTGTGTTATTATGCATATACTGATTACTCTCTTCTTTTATATTATTATTCAGTTGAAGGTGATGATAGTAATGATATTATGAGGAGTGTATTAGAAGAGATGAGACAAGAACATGAAAAGTTGATTGAAGAGAAACAGATTATTACTGGTTAGTGTATCATCAGTACATAATATTAGATGAGAGAATATTCTATTAATGTATAGAGGATAATGAGAAACTAAAACTCAAAGCTGCTGAATATCATAAAGAAGAAGTATTGGAAGAAAAGACACAAATAGAGGAGAAGCAACAGATTATTACTGGTTAGTGTATTATCAGTAAATTCATGTGATATTTGATGAGAAAATCTTCTATTAAATGTACATGTAGAAGATTATGAGAAACTGAAACTCAAATTAGCTGATATGAAGGAGAAGGAAAAACAATATCTCAAGGAGAAACAGATTATTATTGGTTAGTTAACTATACACACAGCATGTATTAGATGAGAGAATATGTTTATTATGTAGACGATGTTCAAAATCTCAAAATTGACATTTCTGAGAAAGACAAAGTTATTGCCAAACTGACATCACAAGTAGAAGAACAATCACAGAATGAGAAACAGATCATTACTGGTTAGTGTATCATCATCAATCAATAATAATTATTAATATTCTATTAATTTATAGACCTTACAGCCAAAGTGTCTGATAGTGAATTGTATACAACCAAACTAATGAAGGAGAAGTCACAACTACAGGAGAGAGTCACATCCTTAGAGGAACAATCCATCAAAGAGACTAGTTCCATTGGACTACAATTTAATTACCTGATCCCTTCAATGGGTAAGAGTATTATTGTGTGACTGACTGAGTGTATACAATTGTGTGTGTACTCACTGTATATATTTTGTATAATTGACAGATAAATTGGATTGTCTGAGTGATGTCCAGGTAGCAGAGAGGAAGCTGTTCTTAATTCAAGGAGACAAACCTCAACTGATGAATTGGGAGAAATATGGTCTAAGGATCGGAGTACAAAAGGAGAGCTTACTGTTCTCTGAGACAGTAGAAGCAGCAGTGGTTGCTCTTGTAGGAGGAGAGTTCCAGTTTCCTGCTAATACTGTCCTAGTGAGTGCTGTGTATGCAGTATCACTCTCAAAGCCTCTCCTCAAACGGCTCATATTAGAAATACAGCACTGTGTTGATTTAACAGGACGACCAGGTCTTATTCGTCATCTCAAGTTTGCCATAGCTCCTGTGAGCACACCCAGTCTTCCTTACCAGTTTTCACTAGTTGAGGGGGGAGAGTTTAAAGCTGATAGTTGGTATGGATCCATTCAACGTAAAGAGTTCTGTTTGGTGTGCATACTTGGATTGATTATGGTGACAATGGCCAGCATTGGTGGACAAGAGGATCATGAAGGAGGAGGAGATGGAGGAGGAGGA